TATACAGATTCCAGAGATCGATTCTAAGAATGGCATTTCCCTAAGTTGCTCTATCATTCTGGTTTTGGGATTGCTGAAAGGAGCCAGGAAGTCTTGGGAATAAACTGACATCTCTTGCATTTTTGTACCTTGTCCCACCCTCCTGGACTCAAGTTCCCATGCAGCTGAGAAACCACATGAAAGCAGGGAGATTTTTGCTTATTGCTAAAACAAATGAGAAGTCTGACTAAACCCTGTTTTCCATTCACAAAAACCAAATGAGCATATTTTCATTTCCAACTAAACTACAGTTCATCTTCAATACTCCCTGAGATTCAGAACAGAAGAATGACTTCAGTGTTATAAAACCTGCATGTGAAGAACACAAGCTTTTGAAACACCTTTACAAGTTCACTCCAGGGGAAAAAAAAAAAAAAAACCAAAAAAAAACCCTCTCAACAATTTCTCAGTAAACTGGGGTTCATCCTTAGCCTCAAGCCAGACAGTGTACACCTATAGTTGGGGGCTACACTGCACAGATCAGAAAAGCACAGGGAAAAGCAACTATTTTATAAGAGGCAGAGAACAAATATCTTCAGATTAGGAAAACAGTTCTACAAAGAAGTATCAAAGGTCCTTCATTGTCTTAAAAAGTTCTTTAGAAACCAGCGATGAATAACGTGGAACACAGATTGATGGAGAAAACACAAGAGTTTGCAAAGTCTACCGAGTTGCTAACTACTACTCTATTATCTTATCCTACTAACCAATTCGTGTTTCTCAGCTCCATCTGCGAATGGGAACACATTGCTACACTTGTTTTTCCTGCACTGTTGAGAGAAAATCTGCCTGGCATCTCCCTGGATGAAGGAGCCAATTCACCCATCTACCTGGAGGCAGCTGGACCAGCCCTACAGCAGACAGCAACACTGGCCCCATTGGCTAGAGCTTCTAGTTAATGCAATACTTGCAGGGCACGGACGATCCAGATTTGATGCTGAACATGGCCATACCTTGGGCTTTCTATAGCTCCTGAAGTCTCAGAGATGGATTGAGGGCAGGCCGGTTCAAGCTGGCATAGCCAAGAAGTTTTAAAACTAACAAGAGTAAGAAAAACAAATGCCAGGAAAGGTCTTCGTGAAGAGTATGTCCAAGAAAGCTTTTAAATTTTTTTACTTGTTTTTAAGCTGAAAAATCTTCCTGTTATCACTAGCTGTTCCACTAACTGCAGCAGCACAAGGATACCAAAACAGACTGGGCTCTGAGCAGCTATTCCTCTTTGAAACACATCACTGTATAATCCTGCTCTGAGCAAATTTAGACAGCATGGTGGGAAAAACACTGCTGGTTGCTGGCACCTTGCCTAATGTAAGCATTCCTGCTGCTACCCTCAAAAACACTGAGAAATTTTTTCAGTGACAAGTTCTGTACAGAGAACTAAAAAAAATTTCTCTCCGCGTTTCATTGCACTGGAAAGGTTTCACAAGAATCTGGTTCTCCAAAACAGGAATTGAATTTTAATTTTCATCCAACTGCAGCAGTTGCTTTAGTATTTTTGTTGCTGCAACAATTGTCTCGGAAAACCTGTAGGAAGATAAACCAAGTAAGATGAAAGAATCAATCCCAGAAAGAGACGACTGTGCATGTGCAGATAGTGTGGAGAAAGAAGAATCAGCATGACCTTTATGGAAGGGCATAAAAGAGATGAGCATCTGTCCTTGGAATTAGTGAATCACCCTGGGCTCACTAGTGTCCATCATCGTGATATCTGAATACTTGGGCAGAGGTCAATGATCAAAGCAGGCACGTTCAAGGAGAAAAAAAGACCACAAAGTGCACTAAAAATGCTAGAGTTTGCTGAAGACCAGATTTTAAACCTCACTGAACACCTAAACTTTGCTACACAAAATGAAGGAACCCAGAATTTCTGTTTGAAAGCTGACACTTGAAACATGCCTGGACCCAAAGGGAGGCAACATAAAATCCAGAATCACCCAAATTATTTAACTCTGATCCATTGTAACTGTCTGAGAATAGCTACTGCCGGAGGATCCTCCTCCTCCTTTTCACAGTGAGCTGATGATTTCCAGAAGGAAGGAAGATAAGGTTCTCCCATGATTATCACCACAGTCTTCTGTACCCTCTTTTTAGTAAGTCACCTGCTGTATCTCAAACACTTGATCAAAGCTGCCAAGGCAAAGCATGCATCTCTCAGAACATCTTCCTTTTACTGTTTAATTTGAATTTGAGGTCTTCAAAACTGCAGTAATTTTCTGAGGGTTTAAATCTATGCTCACAGCAAGTGTGGAGGAAGAAAAATCAAAAAGGGAATCTTTGAGGTCATTGGACATACTTGTAGCCAAGCACTGGAGAACGCAGAAATAAGCCTATTCCTGGGGAAAGGCTGAATTACTGAACTGAAAACTGCTTAGAATTGCAAGACAGATGTGAAAATGCTATATTCAACTACTTGGAGAAAAACCCCTGACAGACTGAAGCATTTCAGACACACAGCCCACTAGCAGGAGACTGGCTTGTGACACTTCCAGGACCGGAGTTATTCCCATCATTCAGCATCACAGCAAGCTCAGAGCACTACCTGTTCGGTCAACCATAAAGCATACCAAATGTAACTTCTAGCTTGCACCCACACAAGTAATGGGAAATACAGACAAAGGTTGCAAGTGCCCACATGCCAGGATTTGGAAAAAGCAACCCCCAGCCTTTGTTAGTCTTACTAGAAAGTACTACGTGGGATCTACAATCATTAGTACTTTTTCTGAGACGCCCTTTTTCTAAAAGGGCATGGAACTCAAGCACGCTTCACTGCTTTCTCCTTCAGCTACCGCTGACAGACGAGGCTGACTGTCCTGTCAGGCATCTCCTCCCAACCTTGCTAAGGATTCAAGGGCCAGGGAGCTTAGTCATCTGCTGAACGATGCCCAGAGTACCTCTCACACATGGCAAGGATGCTGTGTAGAACGTTGAGATTCTATCCTTATGGCCAAGCACCACAAGTGTTTTTCACTGGGTAGTGCTTTAAAAGAGATTTATAACGAGATATATATATATATATATAACAACCATTGTGGCCCACCCAAGACACAACTGTAAGCCCCAAACCAGGAAAGAGTGCCCATCTCAGAAGACATGTAAGAAGCAGCAGATCAAAGAAAACTGACAGGTTAATGTAGAGATACCAAGACTGTAAAGGAAATATTGGCACTCACTCCTGCTTTTAAGGCTCCCTGTGTATTACTTAGTTGCTGCTTGCCAGTCAGTTCTTGCCCTTCTGGAAGCGTATTTATGCCATTTATATGAGAGGTGACAATTCTGTTGAGTTACCACAAAAGGATTTCAGACTAGTATGTTATGATGCTGGAAGACAAGGAGAAGAGCAAGAGAAAACAGAAGGATGAAGTAGCACGTACACCCCACTCCAAGCAGAACAGGGATTTCGGGGGCAAGATGCACAACAACTGCACATCCCCCATTGCTCGCTGCAGGTCAGAAGTCTGCGCCTGTAGACCAGGACCACACAGGCTCCAGCTCCAGCAACTTGTGAAAATAATCTCCCCAGGAGAAAGAAAACATACACGTATTAACTACTTAGAAAGAAATTTTCAAAGGCTCTTGATATCCAGCTGGTCTTGATTCATATTGACTTCAACAGAATAGTCTTGGACCAACGTCGAGCACTCTGAAAAATCCCCTCTATAACTTGCCATTGAGGTATGAAAATAAGTGGTGCAAAAGGGATTGTTAGAAAAAGACGACAAATTAAAAATGAAAGGTTAAAATGAAATTTGGCTTCAGGCCATAAACTAGGGGGAAACTAACAGTAAAGATAGTTAAATGACTGGAAAGAGAACGCAACAGGAGCTATTATGAAAAAAAGCTGATGGCTTTTAAAAAAGGATTTGTATAGATAACTGGGGAAATAAATTCCGTATGTGAAAGAAGTGCAATTGAGAAATTAAATAAATGGAAAATAAGGATGACTAAGTAGTAGTTAACATGCCCCTTCTCAGTTGTATACTATTATCACATCTATTTTTAATGTCTCTTCAGCTGTCCGCAATTGTCATCCTTTTTTCAGAACTTGTTCCAATGCTCTTTGATACTGAATTAGCTGTTTTTTACTCTCCAATGCTTACAACTGCATCTTTTTCTTACTCAACACTCCCCTTTTCCGACAATGTTATTCCATTGTCTCCGTTTTTCATCTCTTCTTATATGTTGACTTCCCAGTTTCTGAGCTTTCCAACTACCCTTGTTCATCTTTTTTTCTGGAGCTCTTTTGGTTGAATCCTAGCACGTTTCTTTTCTTCTTTTCTAAAGATACAAGCATGTTTTATATCATATCTGGCTACTGTACACATTGTTACCCCTTCAGAAGGGCATTGAACAGCTATAGCAGTGTTCACGTTGGAAATAGTAAGCTAAACTAAGGGAAAAAAGAAGTTCTTTTTGGCTTTTCCTTTCTGGTTCTTAAAAAAGAACCCAAACATTTAAACTCTCCCCTTTTCCTTTTTATCCTCAAATAACACAATCTTTCCATGAGCAACTGAATATTCAAACAATAACAGGCATCAGAAGTGTTTGTGATTCTAGAGCTCAGGATGTGTCTAAGCAGAAGACATAACATGAGATTTAATAATACTGAAAAAATACACAAGTTCTAATGTGATGTATGGGCTACTGAGTGAACCTGACTTTTTCATTCTTTTTTACTTCACAAGTATGCCTGTGCCTTACCTTTATGGCTAATGATGCTCCATATTAACTTGGGGACACTTTTTTATTAAAAAAATTGCTTCCAAACATGTTTCAGACAGTCTAATTCACCATCATGATGCCTCAGATTATTCAGCTTCATCATTAAAAGATCAGTCTTAAATTTCTCTACTTCAGTACAATTCTCTTCACCTGCTGCATGCAAAGCCAATGGTGTAATTGAGTTGTACTTAACAATGGTCTTTGGAATGGTATTTTCAAAATTCAGACTTCCACCAGCTTACCTTCAGCTGTGCCAGAGATACCATCAGCTTTGAAATTGCTGGTGCTTTTCTTCCTGCGGTGTTTCTTTCTGTTGGCATGAGGTGAAGGAGGTGGGTCAAGTTTAGGGCTTGTTGTACTGGATATACTGGGGCTTGAACACACAGAATCTCCTAACCCGGTGTCTGTAGTTTGGGGAGAAGAAAAAAAAAGGAAGAAAATTTAAAATACTGCATAATTTAAATTAATGATTGCTAGAATCCAAGATATAACCCCTTGCTGTCTGTTAGCAGCTAACTTCTTGAGCTCATTGACTTCCAAAGGCTACAGGAGAGTCTCCTAACAATATCCTCTTTCAAAAAGATACAAAAAAGCAACTTGGCTGAAGTTCTGATTCAAGTCGTATTAAATCAACGTGATTCTGCATCAATTTTAGAAGCAGACCAGCTGGAACTGACAAAAAACAATGGGAAATCACTTTATTATTTCCAATTGCTTTCTTGCAAAGATCTTACTGATACTCAAATTAACTTGTATCCCACTAGGATATTTTAATACATAATGGCACAGAGATATCTCAACATCCTCTGAATGCTATCTGCTTTTATTAATAATAAAGACAACACACATAGAATAGGTGGTAATGGCAATAAACATGGGAAAAGGTGTGTAACTCACGTATGCCTGGTACAATTAATGCTGTGTGATAAAGGGTCACTTACTACCTACTCCCAATGAAAAAAAAAAATCCCATGTTCAGTGTGTTTTGTTTCCCAATGTATTAGCTATGGTAGCACAACACACAATAATTTTAAGAACTAATGACAAAGTAATTTTCTCCCCCCACCAATTAGCTCACTCAACCAGGTCAAAATTAAAGGTTGATGACACCTCCTCTCGAAGACCCACAGTCTCTTCCCTGGTTCATGTAACGGCTGGTAATAATAAATGTCTTCTCTTTGAGTAGTGCTTCTCTTTTTCAGTCAAGAAACATGTAACAACATTATTTAACACAAGTTTAGTAAACTAAGACATACTTGAAATTTCACTCTCCATCTGGGTCCTTTCACACTGTAAATATTCGAGTAATCTTAACCCAGTATTTTTCCCCCAAGGTTGGTAATATGATTGTAGTTTAATTGCAACCAATCTTCTGGTTAGGATTAGTGCTAAATACAGTTCTAGGTTTTGGTAATTTTAAATTACAAAATATAACATAATACCCTACACTTCACTTAAAGTCTTTGCTATCATTTAAAGTGAAGCTGTTCCCAGAACCTTGGGTAGATACCACATTGCACTTAAGTGCAATACCAGGGTTGCACTTAAGATGAAGTAATACATCAGAAAAATATAGTCAGAAACTATTTAAAAAACAACTTTTGAGGGTTTTTTGGTAGTTACACCTCCATACAAATGCCTATTTGACAAAGAAACACTTATTCTGTGGTTTTTTGTTTCTATTAAAGGTTACTTACTAATTACCCACAAAGAACAGTTGTGCTACAAGTTATTAGAGGGGGATAAATTATGTAGCTAATTGCCTGGCAACAGAGACCAAATATAAGTTTTATATTAAGGATTTTTGTTCTTTTCCCTATGTCTGCTATTTTGAAACCAATAATCAGGCATTTAGCCACAAAAGGGAATCATGGGAATGTATTTACTGTATATCTATGTTGGAGATTTTAAGTATTTGACCCAGAAATGCTCAAAGCAGCTATCCTGACAGGCTTTGCTGTCTCTCCAGGTGAAGAGGGTGGCAAACCCTGATGAGAACTCCATGCCAGTGCTCAGCATGCTCTTTGCAAAAGTGACACAGATGTCTTTGGCTCCCTTGATACTAGAAGAAGAGAAGATGCAAAAGAGGATGCCAGCAATACAAAGGCATGTCCAGTGATGCAAGCTGGTGACTGGTAGTTCTAAATTCTAGACCTCCAGTTAGAGACTTCTTTGTTTCCTATACCGGATACTTTAAAAGAAGAAGAAAAAAAAACAACCCCACAAAACCCCCTCCTTTGCAGCAACAACATGAAAACTGCTGTGTTGAGAGAGGCCAGCCACAGAGCCAGGCACTGGCAAGTTCTGCCACCGGGCAACAAAAATTGATTTTCATTTGCTTGTGAAAATCAAAAAAAAATTCATAAATACCATGGAAAAATCCCAGAGAGCACACCAGCCAGGAAGGCTTGCTCACATCAAACACAATTTCTTAAAAAGCTTCACGTTTTCCCCTCAGAAAATGCGAGGCAAGTGGCACCGGACAGGTCTCATTTTCAGCTCTCACTTTAGAAAGAACTATCCCATTTTATTGAAGAGAAGAAAAAAAAATTTCTGGAAAAATGAGCTCTACCACCCTCTCCCATGCCTCACATAAAGCTTGTTTCCAAATATCCACAATTCCTAGACATGTGCCGAAGCACTCTGGTCCCCGAGGCAGGTGTACAAGGGCTGCGTTTATCACCAAGTGCAACCGCAGTGTCAACCACGATGCCCTGGCCCCGGAAAATGCTGAAGAAGCCACACCCCGATGCAAAGCCAGAGAATATATTTTTCAGCAAAATTCTTGTTAAAAAATGTTAAGGTAGATCTGTACGCTCGCTGTGGCTTAGTCTAATTTCTAGGCTATAAATTGCACCAACAAAAACTGCTCGTGAGCTCTGAAAAATGAGGACACTTACACAGGTACAGTCCGACTACTTGCGTCGGAGAGCTGAAGAATTAACCTCCTATGGTAAATCCTCGTGATCCGCAGCCCTTTCCAGGTAATAACCTGCTGTCCTTGGGTCAAACGGCTCTGAAGTGAAGAGCCTGGAGCTTTCCCTCCCCCTCAACCAGAAAAGAAACACGAGTCGCTCGTAAACGGGTGCCGAGCTGATATTGTTGGTGTATTAATGCCCCGTATTCCTGGTTTCGGAGACCACCCTTTGAAGATGGAAGTTATTTAACATTCTCCCGGTTTAAAATATGAGCAATCAAAAGGCGCTAGGCTTACACGCTGTGCTTTCCCATTTCCCACTACTTCTCTTGCCTGACAAGGTATTCTTCAAATTGAAAAGAGGGCTCCTGAAAGCCCGGCTTCGGAAAACTGTAAATGAGTTCAGGCTTCAGCCCGCTGAATGCAATTTCATACTCCTGACTGAATACAAATAATGCATTTTATTTTGTATCAATTACCACGCCTGAGAACAGACGACCACTGCTGGCACTATTAAATATATATATATATAAAAAAAAAAAAAAAAAAAAAAGGCAGGGAAAAAGGCATGCCAAATTAAAAAAGCAAGCGCCTCATTACTCCACATCTAAACCAGCTTTGACAGAGGCACTCGAACTCATAAGACGCGTTTCACTGGGTTGGGATGGGCTGTTTTGCAGCCATCCCGCACGTTCAATGTCAGCCATTAGTTCTTCCCAATCGGGCATCAATGTTCAACACACACCCGAAAAAATATATAATACTAGTAATAATAATAACAATCTGCAGCCTCTCCGAGCTTCAATACTTGAAGTATGAGTCAAAGAAGCAGTTTCACTTTTCACTCGGGAAGCTGACAAGCATGACTAGAGGGGGAATAAAATAACATTCAGTTCGCATAAATATCAAGCGGGCTGCTTGAGACTGATGGGCCAGGAATGTATTCTTAGCCATCATTCTGGCAGACAGGCCCAAGGACACTCATAACTTATTTTACAATCATTTAGTTTCAGCTCAAGTGGAAAACGTGACAACTTATCTCTGCTGACAAGATGCCATATCGAACCTTACAATTAACTCTCCCACGATTATCTGCCCAGCCCATCATTAGCTTTGCAGTTTTTGATGGACTGTACAGGCAGCTTTCCTTGATGATGGTCATCATTTGCAGGGTGTATATCTATATTATACAATATTGAGGACAAAACTCTCCCCTTGCCACGTAGTTGGGGTTGTCCTGACCAGCACATCCTCTGTTCTGTAACTGTTGTGACACATTTCTAAGTGATGTGTAGCAACACACTGCTGAAAAACGTCTTCTCCTCCAAAACGGTGCATTGCTGTGCTCCAGCCTACGCCTGCCAGCAACTGCGATGTACAGGAGTGAGCTAGAGATGCCCATGCCCTCTTGCAGCAAACAGCCAGCCTTCCCCCCCTGCCCTCTCTCCCCAGTGCAATTATTAACTCCTCTCAGCTGTGAGAGCTGACACAAGCCGCGTCCTTGCAGTTTACCTCCGCACGCTCACAAGGCGGTAAGGAGGACGCCATGAATTTCACAGGCGTGTTCCATGACTTTCTGTACTGATGAGAAAACGTGTTTCTCATTGAAAGGTAGGTTTCTAGCTTTGTAGGGTTGTGAAATAATGCCAAGGGATAGGAGAGCTTCTACACGAACCAGTATGACAAGACGCTCATTCCAGAAAAAGTAGTAAAATCGTCAATTCAGAGTATATTGAGGGGATGTTTATACCTATGTAAGCTATCTGAGGCCATTTAAAAATATGCAGTTCACTCCATGCCCAGGAGAAACAAGTGACACTTGGTAACCAAACCTCTTAAATTATCAAGAGGTAGGATATCAAATAAATGATCACTTTGTTGTTAGGGTGGTGATTTTTCTCTACAGGTGCATGATACATGGGATAAGACAAAGATTCTGCTTGTTCAAGTCCAAACCTAATTTGCTAGAAATTACAGAACAACAACAAAAAAAGCCAATGCAGCTTTTATTCCAGAAAGCAAGTCCCATGACTACCTCTCCCCTAGATGCATTTTGTAATTATAGTCATAAGAGAAATTCTTTTCCATTATGACAAAATCTGGTAGAAGAAATGAGAGGCAGAAGTAAAGAAGTATGTTGTCTACAAGTACAACCCAGAATTATGAGATGGAACATTAATTAAAAAAGAAACCAACCAAGCCTTCTCAGAAGAGTCTCAAGGGCCGTGCTGTTGTACTGCACTTTATTTGCTGTTTGAAACACATTTGATAACCTCTTGCAGTATTATATGATGTTTGTAAAAGGTAACATTCCACACGTCCCACTTCTCATCTTTTTACAGTTTGATTATTTTGAAGCCACCATGTGCTCCGCAAACGGATCTTAAAAGACAACCCCATTTGTGCCCTCTAAGGACACTGCAAGAGTCCTCCTGGATTTGAAAAGGATCAAAATTTCAGTTCAAACCCAGCCTGTACTTCCTTGGT